TCATGAATATGCTAATGATTTTGCATGAAGCCAGAAATTAGTGCCGTATTCCATCTTGAACCTCTAAGTAGCTGCGTGCGCTGTGAAATTAAAGCCATGAGTCAAGTCTCATCCATAATTTCCAAAACACATGCACCCTAAGTGGTCTTATAGAACGACCCTTTATGCCACAAATGTCTCTGTCTTCTTCAACTTCATTATCACTTTCGCATGACCTTTTCAACCATACAACTATCAGCATTAAGAAACTAATATATAGTTCCAACCACCTTCTTCTCCAGAAATGTAAATGTAACAGATTTTCGCAAGAGATTTTTTCACCGAAATCAAACCATGAACTATGCTTTTTGCCAGTTTTTAGTTGTAACGAACGCAAGTATCGAATGAACAAATATCGAATAATATCTTTGAAAATTCATCGAACGAATGAATAGCGAATAAATTTAAAAATTCCCAAATGAACGAATAATACTTATTTCCGTTTTTTATATTATTCGAATTTGATTTTGATTACTCGAATATGAGCACATTCCATTCCATTCCATTCCGCAGCTCCCCCCACCCCCTCGGTCCGCCACTGCAGCCAGCTGATAGTATAATATTATCAAAATGATAGAGGCATGTAAATAGCTGAATTTTGACACTTAAATTATGTTTTAATAAAGCAGTCACCTCTAGTTATCATATTTAGGAATGCAGCTGGGGATAAAAACAGTTGGGGGGGGGGGGAGGGAAGGGGAGTATGTAGAGCTGTTTTAGTGAATCCACCGCTTAGAGCGAAGAGGCACCATGCCGTTGACGTGTATGAACACGTAGGATGTAAGCAACGAGTACTAATGGCGGCAGAATGGCAGTGGTCTAGGGTGCTGTGTGGCCTAGTGGTCCAGTAGACTTCGTGCAGAGCAACGGAAGTTCAACTCTCGACCTAGTCTGGGTGTTTTGCATAAAGCGTGTAGTAGCTCCTCAACAATTATAGCGGCTCCGCAAGTAGCAGCACGAAACTCCGAGTTTCAGAAACGAAACTCGGAGTTAACTCTGAGTTTCAAAACGAAGCTCAGAGTTAACTCTGAGTCAACGCGCAGCTTTAAACTCGGAGTTTCGGCCAGATTACTACCGGCCCTGATTTCGCTGCCTTCAACCTTCGAACCGCTCCAGAACGGGTGTAGGCCCTTCTGAACCCGCTCTAATCGCGATGATAGTGATAGGTCAGCCCACCGCAAAGGTCACGCTGTGATTGGCTGCCGCGCCAAAGCGAGCAGTTGACCCGTCCAGTCGCGTCGCAGCTTCGGACGAGTTTCGTCGTCAGCGTACCGTGTGCACTTACACTCATACACCCACGAAAGACGCCACAAGAAGACCGCGGCGTACACTAAAAGCAGACAAAATTCAGAAAAGTTTCATTAACCACGAAAATTTCTGCTATTTCAGTGATTGTATGAGGATTTGGAAATCACTGACAAAATGACTATGTTTTCATCATCCGCGAACCCCTCTTTTTGCAAATCTTGCCTAGTTTTCCCATTTTACAATTCGGAAACTCACATGCTGTTCTGTCTATACCTACACGTAAACTGCAAGAACTGAAGACTCTGCTTTAATGTAGGAATGCCAGTTTAACTAAAAGAATGGCGAGAAAGAATGCTTTCGACATATTCCCACCGAGATCATGTTAAGAAACTTAACATGATCTCGATGATGATGATGTTAAAAAAAAGAAAAATTGAGATACAGACCCTGCGTCTGTGCAAACTCACAGATTCCAGAAGAAAAACCGTGCAATATTTTTGTCTTACTGCATAAGAACAATGACTATCAAACGCATTCTCCAAAACGAGATTGTCTAGCACTCTAAACAGGGTTCATGGTTTCAAAAATTCATGACAACCTGTGTAAAGGCCTAGAGCTTCATATGACAAGATCTTTATAACAGATACTTCCTTGACAGTCGGACTGTTTCTGATCAGCTGAGCACTTTAGCAAAAGAACAGGTCTGCAGTCTAACGCACAAGGGAGACTATAATAATGACTATAAAACAAAAAAGCTAAGAAATAAAGAACAATGATTGCAGGTCCTACTTTTAAAAGGCCAACAACTGTCCAAGACCAGATTCTTTGCTCATTTTAGAGGATGAAAGAGGAAAATTATGCTAATATGTTGAAACAATCCAAAAGTACCTACTATGAACGTCAAGCCGTTTTTTAATGATGAAAAGACGAACAAGATCAACATAGAATTTACTAAAGTGCTCCACTGGCGATAAAATACTTACCTTTGTGAAAGTATTCGTCGAATTAGTGACTAGTATTACAGCTAAAGGCAGCAGATAGCAGAACTAGGTGCAGCAGATAGCAGAACTAGGGGGGGGGGGGGCAACAGCGAATAATAGCAAAGTCCGCAAGATAAGCTCGATGGGTTCTAGTTGTAGATATGTTACTCATTCGAAGAGAGCAACTTTCGAAATTAGGAAACGGCTCGTCCGCGTCAAACGCAGCGCGAGCGCTCGCGCCCCAGATACTGAATTACTGTAGCGCACTGTGGGTTCAGAAGGGCCGTCTCCCCTCCAGAACTTGTTGAGCACCGCTGGCGCAACTAGAGTATGAGCATTTGACATTAGATTCACGTAATGAAATCAAGATGTCAAACATAAAACAAATAGAAGAATGGATCAGAAGATAACATTGTCGACTGGATTTTTCACTTCAGTGAAATGAAAAGAACAGCAACACGGAAGCCGCGCACAAAAATGCTTACGCGACATCAAGTACTAAATGCTCGTTGTTTATTGGCGCCACTTCTGCGTAACCAGTTCCGAACCGGCTCTGCTTGTGATATCCTACTACATGCGATTGCACCACTACATGATACTTGGCCCGCCCCATATAGGTTCTTTTTTGTCATTTTTAAGCGTTTTGAGGAGTATACACAAATAATCCTTTCGAGATCTGAAAAGTTCTGATCAGCGGAAGCTAGGATGGGCTCATAGTGTTGTGCAATTGCTCTTTTACATTAAATTCATTGATCTGGGAGCATAAATTAAGAGTTCTTTCTCCCAGGTTACGCTCATATCCTGCTGCAACCTATTCTTCCTAATTTTTTATGTTAGAATCCAACCATCGCCTGACAGAGAAGTGGCATTTTTTCACTTTGTACCGTTGATTATTTCCCATGGGAAATCATGACTTGGAAGTCACCAAGTGTTTGTGCCTATCGTAAGTGTGATAACCTTGGATGTCTTCTGTTGTGGATAATATTTTTTATGCTGTTTGCACTGTTACATCAGACTTTCTACCCCTTTGAGAAGAATGGGCGCCAAATTTTTCATGAGTTGTTTACTGTGCAGAATACTTGTTTTTGTTTGTAAATGGTTAAAACGGCTTCCAAATACTAGAAAAAATCCGAATTAGCCCTGCAAAAAAGTTCCCCCGAGAGCTTCAGCTAGCTACGCCTCCTCAAAATTTTGTGGCAATAAGCTAGAAATTTGAAATACTCAAATCCTATCTCTCCCCTCCCCCCCCCCCCTTGCAGAGAAAATTTTGGATTTTCAAAGGGTGTCATGTGTCCCTCTTGTTAAGTCTTTCAAGTTTACAAAAGAAAACAAATTCTTCAATGATTCAATATTATAGTAAGGTGAATAGCCAGATGTACTTCAAAAATCAAAGGACGAGAGCTTCACTTGCGTGGTCTGAGAAATCCAAAGCTTGAATGACACGAGGACTATTCTCTATTTCTAACATCTCGAAAACATTCAGTGTGAAAGCGAAATCATTCCGATGGTACGAATGTTAACAACTAGTCTTGAGAAGAGCTTCCGAACAGACAGCTTACTCCTTGAAATATCTGGGTTTAATAGGGGTTGTACTGATCGTTCTCGTTGATAGGTAGAACCATAAACAAAATAATTCTCAAATAGCAGATCCACGCTCAAATTAATAATTCATGAGTGTTGCAGACCAAACTAACAATAAGGCTACTAGCTCTAAAGGTACGAGTTTGTTAGTCACCTCAAATTGTATTGTGTCTGCAACATTTTTTCCACTCTGTAGTTCAGCTTGAGCCAAGACTACGGCGAATAGAGAGATAAATGGAAGGTAAATTGCACTGTATCGAAAAATGGAAAAGGATTGGTGGAAATTTCTTGTTTAGTCTAGCACTTATTTTGTGTAGAGGAAGTGCAAGCGGAATGGGTGGTGTGAGAAGCGACAGGAAATTAGCAGAAATGGTCGCTAAACTAGAAGCAGATATAGAACGCGATGAAGGTGCAATGAAAATTCCACCGCGCATCTCAGAATGTCACTTTTTCCAGAAAAATTCAATTGAAGCCTAAGTGAAAAAATATTGGTAACCCCTTCTTATGAGAAGTCTTTCACTGCGAAACGGATGCAGATTCGGAACTAAGGAGAAGCTGTTTTCCCTCATGCTAGCACATCGTGTTCAAAGAGAAAAAGTTTTTACAGCATCCTTCTGCCCTTTCCTTGATCATTTGGCCGCCGAGAATCTCCACCAGCTCCGAGCATCCGTGACTCACTCGTCTATTGCAATCATCTCGACGCCGCCATCAATATGGTTGGTTTAATTTTTGCGTTTATAGGCTGAAAATTCATGACTGATCAATTTGTACAGTTCCCTTTTGCGTGCTTCTATTGCAGCCATTCCAATGTTCAGTCCCATAGATCATTCGCATTTTTTTAAAATTACTTCTTTGCACATCAAAGAAATTACTTTAAAACACTTCTGTACGAAAGCACAAATCACGCGCTCAGCAGTGCCTGCAATGTGACTGGAGAATGCTCAGAACCGAAGGAGTTACACAATTTAGCAAATTCAAGCAGTTCACGAGAAATACTGAAAGTATTTTTATTTGGAAGCGAAATCATACGCATTACAGTAGACCTTGTCTGAATAATTATTATGAGAAAATACTGGGGCTAGAAGCAAATAAAGAATGTTACCTAAACGCATTTTCAAAGTAAGGCCACTACAATTACTAATAGGTCGCAGGATGGGACTCTCGCGTGTGCTTATCATCAATTCTAGCCAATTGTACTGCTGTAATGCTGATAAGTTCCGCTTTCTAGTGGTTAGGAACTTTATCAAAAAACAATGAAGTCATGATTCTCAAAAAAAAATAGATGCGAAAGAACTGTCGGACCAATCTTATACGAGGAAACTTCAGGCAGATGAAGCCATGCTTCCATACAAAACGCGTGTAAAAATTAACGTTGGTGGAACTATTTTTGAAACGTATCTTTCTACTCTCCAAGGCATAAAGGGCAGTGTAAGTTGAAACTCGCTTCATAGTACTTATTACTGTCACGCCAATTTCACAGGGGTTTTCTGCTTTGGCAGAACGCTGGCAAAGTGGGGAAGAACTATTTCTGGATGAAAATCCAGTGATTTTTGCGAAAAAGAGAAAATCAGTTGTATGGCTCAATTATCAAGGCTGTTTTCTGAATTAAGGTACTGGATTATCTGAGACGAAGGAGCTATGATGTTGTCCGTATTGAGGATAACGACCGAGTCGCTGTTCGAGCGATAGCTGAGGTGTGACTTTAAGTGATAAAGATATTTTAAAGTTATCATTTAGGACTATTATCTGCTTGATCTTGTCAAAATGAGTTTGCTCGGAGCACTCCGCGATGGCGATACTGTAGCCCTCGTCAATTACTCCTCAGCAGTGGCATACCGTATACCTTGGAATATTCGAAATTTTTTGAACAATCGAATAATCGGATATATTCAAAATTCAAAAATATCGAATAATCAAACTTCGAATCTTCAAAAATAAAAAATGTCGAACATACGAACATCGAATATCTTCGAAAATCAAGAATTTCGAATAACCAAATAATCGAATAAATTCGATTTTGAAAAATTTCGAATAAGGGAGATATTATATATCGAATATATAAAATTTCAAAATTTTCGAAAATCGAATTTTGAATAAATTTTCATTCGAATTCTCCATTCGAATACTCGAATATTCATTCGATTCGGTCCAAAGTATTAGGTTGTCCGGAAATTGATGCAGGTTTTGAATTCCAACCGCAATAAGTCATATACTTCTCATTTCTAAGTAGGTTGTAATACATCATTCGATAGAGCAAAGCAAGCTCTACAAAATGGCAGTCCTGATTTAGCAACAGCTCTAATTCACCACGAGTTTCGAGCCAAAAACTAAAAAGTTTCAACTGCCCGAAAAATCGAGAAAAATCATAACTCACTTCATAAGAATCCTACAAAAATTCTAATTTGCTCACGTAAACAGTGTCCACATAAGACGTATATGCACGCCGTTGCCGCATTTTTTTCTCGGTTAGAAACCAAGAAAACGAAGATTTTCATGTTTCTGCTAAAGTGATCCTGTGCCGTTCCCACATAAATAGTTGTATACTACAAATCTGTAGAAGTACAAACGTAAATTTCCAGCTTTCTACAAGCTTTAGTTTTGGAGAAATATCGAATAAAGTTTTCCAAGTCATGTGGTTCAAGCTAAAATTGAACCGAGAAAAAAAATTTCTAACCGAGAAAAAAATGCGGCAACGGCGTGCATATACGTCTTATGTGGACAGTGTTTACGTGAGCAAATTAGAATTTTTGTAGGATTCTTATGAACTGAGTTATGATTTTTCTCGATTTTTCGGGCAGTTGAAACTTTTTAGTTTTTGGCTCCAAACTCGTGGTGGATTAGAGCTGTTGCTAAATCAGAACTGCCATCTTGTAGAGCTTGCTTTGCTCTATAGAATGATATATTGCAGCCTACTTAGAAATGAGAAGTATTAGGTTGGTAAGAAAGTTCTCGGACATTTTCAGAAAAAATCTGCTGTTTCTCGAAACCTAATGCGTATAATCAGAATGAGGTACCAATCGATAGAGCAAGGCAAGCTCTACAAGAAGGTATGCAAAAGTTCACACCAGCTTCGACCCATCATATGTTTGCACCCAAAATCTGAGTCGTACCAAAATTCAAAAAATCGCGAAAAATTCATATCTTTGTTCAAACAAATCCTCCGGATCTCTAACTTGCTCACAAAAATTGCACACTACATCAGACACTCATATGCAGCCTTCCTGTAATTTTTCCTCATTTAGAAATAGAAAAAACGAAAATTTTCATGCTTGTGTAAAAACGAAGCTGTGCTGCTTCTACCCATGTATTTGAATAGTACAAGCCCTTAGAAGTATAACCGTAAATTTTCAGCTTTCTACAGGCCCTAGTTCCCGAAAATTAGCGATTTAAGCGCTCCTCACTCGGGCGTTCCATGCTAAAATCAATATTTTTCGACATCTAGGGCTTACAGAAATCTGGAAATTTACGCTTATACTTCTAAAGGCTTGAACTTTCAATTACATTGGTGGAAACAGCACAGCTTCGTTTTTATACAAGCATGAAAATTTTCGTTTTCTCGATTTCCAAATGAGGAAAAAATACAGGAACGGTGCATATGAGTGTCTGATGTGGTCCGCAATTTTTGTGTGCAAGTTGGAGATCCAGAAGATTTGTTTGAACAAAGATATGGATCTTTCGCGATTTTTTGAATTCCAGTACGACTCAAATTTTGGGCGAAAACTTACGGTGGGTCGAAGCTGGTGCGAAACTTTGCATACCATCTTGTAGAGCTTGCTTTGCTCTATCGAATGGTACCTCAGTCTGATGTATATCCTTTAGGTTTCGAGAAGTAGCAGATCTTTTCTGAAAATGTCCGAGAACTTTCTTACCAACCTAATATATGACTTATTGCGGTTGGAATTCAAAACCTGCATTAATTTCCGGACAACCTAATATAATGTCCAGGATTTTTGTTCGGGAGGGGGGGGGGCAACAAAATTGTTTCTCTGATTGAGGTGCGTGGCGTCAGCCACGTACTTCGAACCAAAATTTTGGCATGCTTTCCAAAAATGTCGCGAACCCATAACCCTGAAACCTGAGAAGGCGGGCGTGGCGTCAGCTACGCCCCGAAAAATTTTTTATAAGGTTAAATTGGATTTTTATAGAGTGCTGAAAATTAATTCAATGATTTACAAGTATGAGCGGCAGTTGCACATTTTCATATCTCTAAGTAACTTCCAACCCCTCCCCCCGCCACTCCTCCCTTCGGTACGCCTCTGCTCCTCAGTAAAACTTCCTGGCGTAGTAATCTGTAGAAGTACTGCTAATTAATACTCCTCCATTCAAATCAAAAGAGAAAAGGAAACAGGAAAGTTGCTGAACATAAGCAGGCTCAGATCTTAGGAATCGTCAATTGGTGCGCATGGTGTACAATACGCATAGGAATTTACAAATGACTCACGATATGTGAAATCTGAGCCGAAATTACTGCCGTTTATATCGATAGATGATAGAAAATTTAATTCATCTATGACTTGACTAGGCTATGATATTATTTGCAAGGTCCTTTCTTGGCAAATCGGTGGATTGCATAGTGTGCGGAAAAAAGATGAGTTTTCGCAGACAAAGGATAAAGTGATAGATTTTGAATGTTGGGAACCACTGAAGCATTATATGCGCTACATGCGAGGAAAAGTGCAAAAGGTACAATATCAACTTTTTCTGATCATTTATTGACTTTCTGTGTTGCTTTCAGGTTCGGGTTTCACCTCCTTGCTGCAGCGTGCAATGGGATTATCATTATTGTCGCAACATATGGCTACACATCCCACAGTATGCATTGCGTTCAGCAAAGTAATGCCAGGTTTTCCATTTTTAATAGATCATGATATTCTTTTCAGCCCGCCGCTCTGATTCCGTAGTCTTTTATTGTCTTGGACCGCTTGGACAATGTGTTATGTGCTTATTGGTAGAGGATAAATCATGCCGATGCAGTGTTTGCTTGGAAAATGATTTTGTTTGCTATGTGATTTGAGAAAAGATAACGCTTTGCAAGCAGCAAGATGTGAATTTGCCGTACCTATGCATACTGAGCTGATCTATAACAGTGAATGGCCTAAAAGTTCATTTTATGTCCACAATCTCAACGAATGACTGTGCGAAAAAAGAAAACCCAGCTGCTTCCATGGAATGGGCAGTGACAGCTATGAAAGAAGTATCTACAAAAATAGCTTGGATTGCTGGGGTTTATGTGCCAGTCAGAAAGTACTGCGTAGACTGCGTTTCTTTCTGTTGATCATGAGCATTCCAGGCTTAGTGTGTGTAATCATGTATAATTCGTAAGTATAACAAGCTAAATCACGGCTATTTGCTCCGTAGATATTAAGTTAGATAGAGTTTTCTAGTTCAGTTTTTCTTGTATTTTCAACCTTTTTCCAGTCTTCAGTTCAGCTTGAAGCAAGATTAAAGCGCAAACAGATCGAAGGAATGTTGGGAATCAGTAAACAAAAGTGAAAAGGATGAATGAGCCTTTTTGTTTTGTCTAGCGGAACCGACTGGCCACTGATGGATGCGAATGAAACAAATGATCGGAGATCGATCAACGAAGCAGAACTAGAGACTGAGATGGAGATATGTATCAGTGCAAACTTCCTTGCTCACCTCAAATTCTTACCTTTTTCAGAAAAATAAACTCGTGAGAAGCCTGAGTGAGAATATAGAGGGACCTCTTCTCTTGTGAAGTCTTTCATTGCAGATGCAAATCGACTAACTAAAGAGGGAAGCATGTTTAGTCAAACTGAGCTTTTCAGATGGGACATTACTGCGGAACACTTATGGACGAGAAGTTTTTTATCGTTCATTAGAGCAAAAAGTTGAATGTGCAAGTAGCTCAAAATAGTCGTATATTTTTTCTAACGCTTTGGAGCAGTTATAATTACCAGAGCATTTCACTCGATAATTACCCTAGGATAAAAATATATCGCACTTGGCTGTTTTATTTGAGGGCTTGTAAGATCTTAGAAACTCATTTTATCCTAAATGTATTTTTGATTTTTTTCTAATAAACGCTCATAACTCCTTTTCCACAAACGTTCTGCAGATAAGGACGGAAGACTGAGTCAGCGTTTTATGCTCTTTAATGTATCTACATTCCATTTCAAGAGGCCACTTTGACTTAAAACGCTTCTCTTGTAGGGAGGAGCTGTTTTCTTAGAGAAAGCACATCGTGATCAAAGAAGAACAGTTTTCACAGCTTTTTTGCCCTTTCTTTGTGTCTCTTGCCCTCTAAGATTCGTTTCAGCTTCCGCAACATCCATGACTCATTCGTCTGTTGCCATCAACTTGTCTCGCCTTCGACATGGTTAGTTAATGGTCAAACAAAAAAGATTGATGAAATTGAGCTTGTCTATTTTTTTTGCAAAATGCTCCAGTTGCTTTAAAGGCAGCGGCTCTGTTCATGTTCTCGGTTCCTCTGGATGAGCTTAGTCCAAAATTTTGCTTTGCAGCTTCGAAAGATATCAATAACCCGCTTTTCTAAACGAGAAAGTGCTGTTTGGGCGGGTCTCGAAAGTGCTGGAGCCAATAATCCAATTGCCGCCGAGATGGGTACGGTATCTCCACTCAGGAGCCAATCGCGCTCTAAAGGCACTTACGCCGTCCGCCCAGATAACACTTTTCACGTCTGGAAAAGTGGGCTATTGATATCGTTTGAAGCTGCAAAGCACAGTCTTGGACTTAGCTCATTCAGGGGAACCAAGAATAATGAATATCTCAAAGTTGTCAATTTGCCGAGCGCTGCCTTTAACTGCATATAGAACCCGCTTACTGAAAATAGATTCTAGGTAGAAGAAGAGAAACTTTCGGCATACGGCAAGCGTGTGAGAATCAATGTTGCTGGGACAATTTTTGAGACCTATCTTTCTACGTTGACGAGAGTAAATGATAGTGTGGGTTAGACTTTCGTTGTCATGCTTAAGTCATTATGCCAATGCCCAAAGGTGCTGTCCGCTTTGGTATCTGAACGCTGGCGGAATAACGAGGAATTATTTGTGGATAGGAACCCGACTCTCTTTGCACAAGTATCCTTGTATGACTTTATTCATCATTTATCTGAGCAGAATTTTTTTTGGTACTGGATTACCTGAGAGATGGGGATCAGTTTCTTGTTCCAGCTGAAGATGACGCTCGTGAAGCTCTTCGAAGAGAAGCTGAAGTATGTTCCAACAGAGAGAAAAGAAGCTTATTAGGATATCATTTAGTTCTTCGGTCTTCCTGAGCTTGTCAAAATGTGCATGCCCCAAGAATTTCATGTTGGTAAAGTTGTAAAATGGAAGGAAGACGCCATTGAATCTTACTGGAAAGTTTTCGTTAGGTAAGGCGCTCCATGTCTATAATCATCAGAGCTCATTACGAGGTTCCAAATGTAAATCGTAAACTCTTCCTCTCTCTCAGTGGTTTCACATAGAAATATTATAAAACAGAAAAAATTACCTGCAGTCGAGTAGATTTTCTGCTCAATATAGTGCCCCTGCAGACCAACTGTCGTTGCGACGCGAGTGCCTTCTGGTGTTTTCTTTTCCCATCCTTTGCTTTTCAGGTGAGCCTTTGCTGACAAAGGAGAAAAAGGTAAGTTGGAGAGTACTTTTTGTCTCCTGAGAAGTTATATTATTATCCGTTTTTTCTCAGGTACCTAAAAGAAGATACTTCGCATCGGTTTCATGTGTATTTTTTCGCCGCTTCTTGCCCTTTCCTTCTTGTAAAGCATTTCGTTGAACGCTAATAGGCTATCGTTTAACTCACTGCCTTTATCACGCGAATAACCGATTAAACGCTATTTCTTTTTGGATGATGAAAGCTGAAGTTGCTGCAGCGCAAGCCTACTACCGGAAGGAATGCTTCGAAAGAGGCAAGCAGTGGCTGAAGAAGAGGAAATAACAAAGAATGCACATGAAACTGACGCGACGTGCTTTACGTAGATACCTGAGAATAGGCGACGATATAACCATTTACAAAACAGAAACTACTAAACTTGCCTTTTTCTCCTCTAGCAGCAATGACATGCCTAGAAAGCAAAAATAAGCAGAAAGAATTTCAGAGAATCATCCTCTCGGAAGCTCACAATGATTTTATTGACGCACAAGCGTTGTCGCGTTTGCAGGGACATCATATTAAGTAGGAAATCCACTCTACTGTGCTATGTTCTGGCATTTCGATGGCTTCTTATTGAGCACAGGTTGCGGGGAAAAGCAAAGGAGAACAGATTTGCTAGTATTGCTTTATTTTATCAGACTTTGTGGAGATTTCCGATCAGGACCAATTTTGCCCACTTAAAAATAGTAAATCATAAAATTTGTGTCTAACTGATAGCATTTTGCAGGCTTTTAATCTGACTAGTTTGCTCAAACAACCGTACGTTGAGTGATCTTGTTCTCTCATTATTTCTGATTTTGCGCGTAAGCCCCTGGGCATACCTCTCGCAATTACAGTCGCCACGCGATTTGGCCATTCGCCAGCTCTCTTCAAACCCAACATGCTGAATTCAGCTTTTGCGAGCACAATAAAATGTGCCCTTTTCGTATGCTCAAATTGAACTTGCGATGAGTTATAAGCAGCTGGAGTATGTCGCGTTGCGTCGCAACTGAAGTCGTGTGAGGTATGCCCGGAGCCTAATAGAGAGAGCTTCTAATTTGCTGTCAAGGAAATAATTTGCGGTTTCAAATTTTGCGCAACAGACTTTTGTACAATCTAATGTGTACAGTGTGGATCAAAGTTATTGGACATGTGTTTCGCATTAAACTCTTGCGACAGCGCGCAAAGTTGAGTGGATGCCAGAACAAAAATGCCTATCGTTCTTGCATAGAACACTGTTTCGCTAAGGTATATTTACGTTGGCAAACGCAAATGTTTCTGCTGCGAAGTATGCGGAACCATCACGGATAATGTTGTTGGACCCAGCTGTGGGCAGGAATTTCGTTTTACCCAAAATGGAACTGATAAATCAGTGGACTATGAACTTTGGTTGCCATTGAAGCATCATATGCTTCATATGAAAGGGACGGTGAAGCAGGTACTGCTCTTGCCTTTATGGCGAAAATTACTTTTTTTTGAATTACAGGTAAATGAAACTTGCTGCGTGGTGCAATGGGGATGCAGAAACTTTTTGGAAACGCATATCCCACAATCTGCATTGCGCTTATGTTAGTAGTATCCTCTTACAAGTCTTCATAACATTATGGTAACCTTTTCACCTCTAAAGTGGACATGTGGAGTACTGCTAAAATTGTCTCATATCCAGTGTGCAATAAATGCCATCATCAACATTGCTGTTATGATACCGTGTCCGTCAGAAATTTATCAAATACTCCATTGCTATAGGGCTTGGCTAGATCGCAAAGGTATTTTGGCCGCGGGAAAAGCCACAAGGCCTTAAACCGCTCGTACGAACGAGATTGTCGCGCAATTTCTAAACGCCCAAGTGATTGAAGGCTAACATTTCATGACAGAAAAGCTTGTAGGAAACAGAAAACTGAGAAAGTTAGGTTAATGTACGCGCGGCCGCAAACTCACCAACCTTCACGATCAAGCGCAGCACTATAACAGGTGATGCAGTTGATATGCATTACCAAAGCTTATAGCTAAAGTTGTTTGCAGTATAAAAAGCTACAGAGCTAGCTGTACGCTATAGACTTCACAAATTTACTAATTGCTGTAAAGAGTTTTATTCAGGCTATGTCCATAGTTGCCTGTGCTAGCACCGAACTAGCGGCAGATCTCGCTCGTTATGCAAACGACTTGTTCATAGTTGTAAATAATTAGAATGATTTTGAAAATTCTAAAATTTTTATTAGCCTTCAAAACTTATTCTCGGAGGTGTGGCTGCCGTTAGCCTCTTTTTACGAGAATTTCGGAGTTATGGGAGGCCCAAAAATTGTAAGAAGTACCCCAAAAAAATTTTTTCGGAGTGCGTGGCATGGCTACCTTCATTTGGGAAACTCTCCCCCCCCCCCCTTCAATGAAAATCGTGGGTCCGCCAGTAAAGCACACCTATACACACCTATACACTTGTAAATCTGTACCTTATATAACTTTTACTTAAATGCATTTTCAAAGCGGATAACTATGGAGTAATGCAGTTGCACGAAGATTCTGAGATTTTTTAGAATTCAAGAGTAAAAATTCAGCAGAAATCATCCACCTTAACTTCAAGTTCAATCAAAAGTACTGTTGCTCTTTTGCCCTCTTTTTCAACAATTTGCTTGTCAACATTGTTGGGAAGAGACCAAATCATCTGTTTTGCGATGGTGCTTTGGCAATCTCCACTGTCAGCGATTGCAGAGATATACGGAACAGATGGAGAACAAGAATAAAACGAGCTGATGTCATTTTGAAGTCTAATCGTTGCCTGAGTATCCGAAGCTTTCCGATAAAGTCCGAAAGTATTCGTGTCTTATGTTTTTTACCTTCTCAGACAATCGACCGGACCTCTCCGCCGGACAGTCCGAATCTGCCAGAGTCGCGCCGGACCCAATTGACCAATGAGAGGGGGGCAAATGGGCGGTCCGGGCGGTGACATCACTGGCAGGCAAGTGGGAGGCTTCTCCGGCCCTGCTGCAAAGGTCCGCCATTTCTCCGGCGCGATTCTGCCAGATTTGGCGGACTCGCGCCGGAGAAATTTGCCCGGCGCGAGTCCGCCAGATTTGGAAGAGCCGCGCCGGAGAAAATCGGAGGGGTCCGGAGCAGAAATGGGAGGCCTCCGGAGCAGAAAATGGGAGGTACCCGGAGCAGAAAATGGGAGGTATCCGGAGCAGAAAATGGGAGGTATCCGGAGCAGAAAATGGGAGGTATCCGGAGCAGAAATGGGAGGTATCCGGAGCAGAAAATGGGAGGTATCCGGAGCAGAAAATGGGAGGTATCCGGAGCAGAAAATGGGAGGCATCCGGAGCAGAAAATGGGAGGTATGCGGAGCAGAAAATGGAGGTATCCGGAGCAGAAATGGGAGGGCTCCGCCGGACAAATGGGAGACCCACCGCTGGGGAAACGCCGCGACCCTGCCATTTCTCCGGCGGAGGGGTCCTATCCGTTGCCTGAGTTGTGCTCTTGAATAAGCGAAGTGCCCTGACCGAAGAATACACCAGTGTCTGTTTCTCAACATAAATTCAAAGGTGTAAGCCATCTAGAAGAATCACGCACGAGACGGTTTTACTAAATACGTCTTTTTGTAAAATTTCTGTCTTATAAGCTCCCAAAAATTTGGAGGGCATCCCAGAATTTCTACGAAAATCTTATCTTCTAGAAAATTAAAAAATTCAACAATTTTGCAGTTTTCTATCGTAAACTGACACTTCATCAGTACAGACTTTGTTCAGTCAAAAGGCTAAGTCGTATCCTGTGCTACCGTTACTTTAGAATTCTACCCGTTTTTTTAATATTCAAGATGTTCTTTTGAGCTGAGTAGAAGGACTTATTCATTCTGTTGCTCGAAATTTGAAAATGTCGCCTTCGGCACCATCTTGTTTACGTAATTTTTTTGAAAGCGGAATATAAAATGAGAAGGCGATGTTGCTGATTACCTTTTGAACTCAATGCTATTTTTGTTGCTATTAATGCTACTCTGACGAACCACAATGCATAATAAATTGTTCCAGCTGCATAGAGAGGGTGCATAGTGGATGAATGTTACGGGTAAAAACGACTCTCGTCTTCCTCCTTCTCGCCTCAACCTCAGTGAGCGACATTCTGAAGGACACCACCATCTCCTAAAGAGTTTTTGGATCATTAAAGTCCGTACGCGCGATTTTCTGTGATTGCATTTACCGCACGTAACTTGACGGCTGATTTTGATCTGAATGCGTTTATTGAAAGGATTATAATTTTCGTAGGGGTGGGGGCGTTTGGCTCTAAATTTCCACTGTAAGAAGAAGCTGTGAGCAGGGTTGAGCGTGGGGTCAGGCGCGCTCGACTCAAGGGGTCGTGTTGGGGGTAAGAGCAAAGGGGGGGGGTCAAGGAGCGAATTTGTTCAGAAATTTGAGGAACTCTACTTCGATGAGTAAGGTAAAGAAGAAAGTCTCTCAACCGTGAATCTCACAACTCTACCAGAGGAATGAATGTGCTGATTAACTCTACTACGAAGTCTCAGCCATATTTCAATTTTTCATCTTACCTTACACATACCGTAAGGTCATCAAAGAAGCTTTTTGTGTGAATTGGATATGATGTAATCAGCCTGCCAAATTACCTAACGAGCTCTACAAACCATTATTTACTGAAGTTCCCAATATTTTCTAACGTCTAAAAAGCGTGATTTTCAAACATGATTGACTTGGTCACAAAAGTGAAAGAAGTCACTTTTCTGTATTCATAACGAAGTATTACTCTTTATCAGTTCTATGGTAGAGATTGAACTTCATATCACTTTCAAATAATAGATTAAGAAATGCTGCCAAAATGTTAGTCACCGCGTTTTCTACCTCCAGTTCTTCGACCACGATCTCCACAAAGCCAAAACAAGTCGAGGTAAGCTCAAACACCTATGGTAGAATCTTCGAGATTTATGTTAGCGAATCATATAAACTAAAGTGAAAAATTTCGGCGATAAAGTTAATCGGGTCAGGTACAACCCTCAAAAGATCAGGCGTGCCTGAGCTTTTGAGGGGATGCGCCCAGCGCCCAACCCCCCCCCCCCCAACTTGCCTTCATTCTCCAAATATCGCTCCATTCCTGTTGAGTATCGAGGTCATAGCTTCTTTTTGCTACAGTGGAAGTTTGAAGCCGAATGCCCCACCCCTAAAAAAGTTATGGCCCTTTCAATAGGCCCATTCAAAACAGAATCAGCCGTCAAAATACGTGTGGTTGTAAAGTGCAGTCACAGAAACTCAAGCGTACAGTCCTCAAAAATTTGGTTTTCCAGATATCGCTCCATTCCTCCTTCCATCCTTCCATTCCATTCGACCTCTGAAAAAGGATGATATGCTCCAGAATGTCACAATCTGAGGTTGCGGAGGTCAAGAATAGGAAGAAAGAGTCGTTTGAGGGTTTTTATGGGAGGGAGGGGTCGTTTAAAAGGCTTGTGCCTGACCTCTTGCTCAACACTGGCTATGAGCTCAATACTCATACCGGCAATGGAGCAATTTCTAGAATTCGAAGACATATTGAAGGGGCCAGGCACACCTCATAAGCTTAAGCAGCCTGACCTTTTGAGGTGTGCCTGACCCGATTAATTTTATTACCAAAAAGGATTCCTACCTTAGTATTATGTGATTCGCTATCACAAACCTCGGAGATCCTTTATTAGGTGTTTTTGCTTACTTTGACTTGTTTCGGCCTTGTGATGATCGGTGGAGTTGAAGCACTAAGTTTGGGACAAGAGTGATTGAAATTTTGGCAGCGCTTCTTATCGACTAGTTCAAGGCGGTGTAAAGTCTAATTTCTACCGTAGGCTAATAAAAAGCATTACTTCGTTATGAGCACAAAAAAGCAGACTTCTTTTACTTTTGGACCAAGTTAATCATGTCTGAAAATCACGCTTTTCGGACAACTGAAAGCGCTTTTCTGGAAAACAATTGAAAAATGTAACAGGTAAAGGTTTGTGAAAAGAAATGAAAAATCCAGGCGAAAAGCAGGCTTTTGTCCTTCGTTTCCCATTTCTCGAAAGCACTTTGTTATTCATCTATTGCCTCTTCTCAAGCATCTCTGATCATTCTTGATCAGAGATGCTTGAGAATCCACTAGAATCCACTATAAGCCCTTTGTGAGAATAGAATAATGACACAACGTTTGGTGACTATGATTGAAATCATCAAAATTAGCTAGCCTACAGCCGACTGCTTATTACAGCTACGAGATTGAGTTAAAGAGGCCTTATGCTTTTGCGTCCAGCACTGATTCAAAAGCTTTCCTATCGTTAAGACATAATTTTACTTCAAGACTGTTCCGAGCAAACTAATTCAAGAAAAAGGACTATTGGCCAATTGTTCAAGATTTTAGTTAAATGAAGTTCAAAAGTGGTTTCAATTTGCAAATTCGAGGACTAGGATTGAGCCGTAACTGAGACGACAAAGGTGTGATTCTTAGCTTCTCAAGCTGCTAATTCATGATCCTCAGAGAGCGTGGCTGGAGCTCATATATTTCAATTTTCTGGAGACGTTGACAACACACCCTTCCCCAAGAGTCCCATGTGATTGATCGAACAGAAAAAATTGAATACTGAACATTGGCAGTTTTGATCCAAGCGGATATTTCTCAAGCCACCAGGGTTGCTAGCAAGATCTGTTAGTTAGGCTAAGAAAACATGCAATTTACTGACAATATCAACAATTTTGTTACTCCAGAAGCAAAAATTGATTTAATCATGATGAAAACTCTGTTTCGAAAGTTTGTCAAACAAAGCGAAACATCGTTATGCCTATCTGTCCTGCAGACTCTTACTTGATTTTCTACATAGTCAAGGAGATGTGGTGGTACGCTCATTTGCATACTTCTAAATGAACTTTTTCGTGTGAGGTAAACGGAAAATCTGGAGGCATGTCTATTGTACTAATAAGTCGTTCACAAAAACCTACACAAAGAGTGGAAGGGAATGGATGAAGAGAACTTTTTTCAGCTTAAATTGGTACAAGCCGAATTTGAGAGAAGTAGATCTCTTCAAATTTTTCACGTGCAGCCCTATGAATCATTTTAACATACCGAAAAATTGAGCGATAATGCTGAATACACAAGCAGTGCCAGAGACATCCATACTTGCTACATGCCAAGAACTTTGTTTACATTTGTTAGCTCATTGCAGTGGAAGCCGCTTCGACATTGTCGACTGTTACAAGAGCTCTCCTCATGTACAGCTCCATTTACAGTAACTTGTCTTCTGTCATCCTCACTCTCTCCTTTGTTATTGCTGTAAGTTAATGAAAGCTTTAAAGATGTTAGAATCGTACACAACTTGCATTCATATTGGCTGAAGACCATGACTTTTGCCATGTAATCAAAAGCTTTTTTAGTGTATTGTTGTCTCACCTCTTGATGATCACAGCGCGGACTGTTCTAGTGAACAAGCTGATAAAAAATTTTGTAAGCAAGGTCTGAGAATAATTAGCCCGTTGTCACCCAGGTTATGCAAGAGTAATTTAGGATATTCAAATGACAAGGATCGCAGGCAACAGCGTATTGAAGAGAAACAGAACCTTATTATAGAAAAGCTCCTCAGCAAACCTAGCAGAAAGGTGAAAGAAGTCAACTCTTGCACAGCAATTTCATGTAGTCATTCAGATAGATGAGCTTTGCAGTGAACTTGACAAGACCTGCTTTACTATTATTGATAGCTTTGAGAAACATGGCAACATGTAGGTTTCCTGATAGCTTATTGAAGTTAGTCCCATGAGAATATATCTAGGTTCTTCGCGTTCAGAAGCTTGCGAAGGAAAGGGCCGGAAGGTGTACTATTACTGTCGCAAGCAAGGCTTGAACCTCATTCACGTGAATTCTTTTACTGCCATAATAGTTCTTCCACGTATCTGACTGATTTAGCTCTTAATTGGAAGAATTTTAACTCAAAGACATGGAGTATAAAGAAGGACTATGTTCGATTGACTTATGCTCAACTTATGATAGCTGGAGCGTTTTTGAGTGGAGGACTGGAGCTCAACACCAAAAGAAAACAAGATATACTAATCATCGGACTTGGAGGAGGAGTCATCAACAATTATTTTACACAAATGGAAAATCAAGTGGTAAGGCCTTTTAGTTAGTCACACCTGTATGTGTGAATTGGTAAATTCAGCTGAACGTCACTGTGGTCGATATTGATCCTGTGATGAAAAAGGTAGCCACGAAATGGTTTGGGTTTACGGAATCGCCTTTGCATAGAATTATTGTGGATGATGGAGTGAGATACATACATGATGCTGCTAGGAGAGGTTTACTCGCGCAACTTTACTGGCCTTATCATGTCAATGATTTCAGGAGAAAAATATGACGTACTTATCATTGACCTATGCTACAACATACCTTTGCCTATGATGTGTCCAATCATGGAATTTTTGGATGATGGCTTGATTACCTCAATGAAAGCCATCACAGCAGAAACTGGTATTAGATATTCTTGAAGGTGGTGTCTCACCAAAACTCAAGGTCAGATTTTTTGCGGGTTGCAGGCGTTTGCTACCCTTAGTAGCCCTATAGATGTTTAAGTTTGCACAAAATTGCAAGAATCCCACTTTTCGAAGGCCCTTCAAAGCGGATGAGCTGCGCTTCTCTCTTCTAGCATCCATTGCATGTTTGGACACGTCAAGGAAAAGACCGTCGTCTGTAATAACGTGTTGGAAGCAAGACAGAGCTGGCGAGATTTGGCGAGTATCGAGTCGCTTTCTGCGCGTTATCTTGAAGCAACTTTCTTACATTTAACGTAGGTCCGCATAGAAATGAACTTAGCCAGTGACCTGATAAGTGAAAAAGCTTATGAAATAAATGAAGCTAACCTTTGAATTTGGTGAGAGATCGCCTTTAATCGGTTTGTCTGGGCAGGCGAGTATATGCCGCCGACAGGCACACCTCGCGCGGACAGCTGGTACAAATCTGTAATGTCTGTAGTAAGTATGTCTGTGTGATCTGTAGCAGATGTCCGCGTGGTACCATCCCCTTCCGGCGACATATAGCTTTACTCAATTGCTTGCTTCACTCTATTTAGGCGCGGTCATCGTGAATATAATCACTGAGCAGAAACATAGCAAAAAGGTGGAAGACATTGTGAGAACTGAAGCAAACAGATGGTCACATCAAACCTACGACATTTTCTTTAGGTGTATTCCATATATTCCCGTCATTTTCCCTCGTGCTATTTTATAGAACATTACGCAAAAGAAAAAGTAGGTTTTTTTGACATGGCATAAAATTGTAATTATCAAGTGTTTATTTTAGATGCTGTTCTGTTCAGCCAAAGAGAACGAATCGTACTTGAACAATACAGATGAAAACTTTCACAATCGATTCAAAACCGTGGATGACACTCTTGGATTTGGTCTGCTTCCAGATCAAAGTCCCTGCTCTTCAAATTGAGTACTAGTAGTTTTCAAACCTATAAGCCGTATCTTGCTTGCTTCCAATTCGAGCAGGTCGAAGCTTGCGTAGGAGCCTTTACCGTGAGGCGCTTCATGCAAGGATTGCGCACAGCGGTGCGCCCCAGCTGTTCGCGTTTGAAGTTTAGGGCAAACGAGTGGCTTATAGATCTAAAAATATGGTGATAGTAAACCTTCTTTTAACGATCTTTCGTAGTAAAGTGAATTTTCAAGATTCTTTAAAAAATTTTGAGTTCCATTCAAAAAAAAACAAATGAGTGCAGATGCACAGAGTTAGAGCATTCGCGAGATCGGCGCATAAGTGGAAATTAGCTGCTTGCATTGGAAGCCATTTAACTAAAAGTGATCTTCTGTTGAGTAGTAAATCAATTAGAGCCCGTGAAGGGCTTGTTTCAGTAAGGATTTCCAAATTTGCCAAACAGTGAAGTGAACTGAAGCATTTTGCTGCTTTCGGAATGCACTGTCAAACTATCTGGATAAAGGGTACCAAATGCGAGACTGCTCTAACCTTTAAGATATACTGTAACTCGCCGGTAGGGAAAGAGAAAAGAACTGTACAAATCAGTTCTCTCTGTTCAGCAAGTCACCAAACTTACAAGGGAAGGATGGCCAGTCGAAGCGGCCTTTCAATATGAAATGTACACTTTTCTGAAGAACATGAAACACTGGTTTCAAATCTGCTTTTCTCATCTGCTGTGGGCTTCTAAGAAACGAGTTTTCAATGTTTTTGTAAGCAAATATTTGAATGCGGACAAGGTAAAATCAGGTGTTACGAATGGCGCATATTTTTTGCAAAGCGTCAACCAGTACAAGAGCCAGCACTCATGGCATCGAGTCATGCATTTGCTCCCACCTCACCTCCCTTCCCCTGTTCCTGCTGCCGATTCGGCAGCGAAGAGCTTCCGTGGAGCACAATCTTTAAGCGCGGCGTTCGCGGCTAAGTGACCGCCGTGCGCTTTGTGCCTCCTCAGGCTCCCGCCAGAGTGCCGAAGTTATGCTCAGGGTTGAGCAAGAGGTCAGGCACTAGTCCTTCAAAAACGACCTCCCCCCCCCTGTGAAAGCCCCTAAAATGACCCCTCCACTTCAACTCCAGGACCTTAGACTGTTTATGTTGAAGAAGACCAGCCTTTACTGGAGGGTTCTTGTTTTTTGGCAGCAGGCCCAACTTTCTGAGATTGCACAACCACACGCAACTTGACTGCAAGTTTTGAACTTGGATAGCCCTCTTTTCAGAGTTATAGTTTTTGCAGGGGTGGAGTGTTTGGCTCCAAATTTTCAATATAGCAAGAAGAGGCTTTGCTTTCAATACTCATACTAGAAAAGGAGCGATTTTTGAATATTGAAGGTGAGTTAAGAGGGTCAGGCGCAACCCCTCAAAAGCTCAGGCGGCCTGACCATTTGAGGGGTTGCGCCTGACCCCATTAACTTTATTTTCGAGGAAGCTTTTCTATCCAAGTTTTATGTGATTCGCTAGCACAACTCTCGTAGATTCCACAGTAAGTGTTTGAGCTTGTTTCAATTTGTTTCGGCCTTGTAGTAATCCGTAGAGTGAAAGCACTTAATGTGAAGAACGCGCCGGAAATTTGGCAGCACTTCCTACTTCACTATTTGGAAGTGATATGAAGCCTGATTTATAGCATAGACTTGCAGGGAACGATACTTTGTTACGAGTATAAAAAAGCTGACTATTTTCACTTTTGAAGCCAAGTTAATCATGTTTGAAAATCACGCTTTCTAGACGTTGCGAAACACTAGGAAATGCGGTAGGTAATGACTTTAGAGCTCATAGAGGTAATCTGACATGCTGATTACGGAAATAATACCCATTTCACACAGCAACCTTACTTGGCGACCTCATGATGTGTGAAGGTAAAAGAAGAAGACTTGAATTTGGCTGAAATTTCGATTGTGTAAACAATCGGTATGCTGTTCACGACCGTCATTCCTTCAGTACTGGTGATTGTGATATCCACCGGACTAGCGCTTTCTTCTTCACCTTCGTAGTATCTCCCCAACTAAACGGATTCGGTTCTTAATTACGGCCCCCCCCCCTCAGTCATACCCCAAGACGACCCCCCAGATCGGGCGCGCCTGACCTCACGCTCAGCCCTGGTTATGCCAGTGCTACGCCAGCATTTCGATCGATACACGTGTATTTCGTTGGGGACGTCAGCTAGCCCCGCCCCAACGAAATACACGTGTATCGATCGAAATGCTGGCGTAGCGCTGGCATAACTTCGGCACTCTGGCGGGAGCCTAAATCTGCGTTACACTGATCCGGAGGTACTAGAATAGCGCTCGAATTGCGCCGGAACTGTGCTGCATACGCTGCAGAGCTCGCATTGGTACATGTGGAGAAAATTTACAGTTTTCAATCGTTCCCTAACAATTTTCAATTCTAAAATTGCTTGTTAGTCTCTTTGTGCCTCATTTCTTGCTTTGGCTTCTGGTGGACATCCGATCTCTTGAATAGTACTTGAAGCTAAGCAAAAGACTGGAAGGGAGTTATTAACGATCGAAAAGTGTGTACTTACTTTTGAGATATCCCCTTATAAGAAGGTCACATATCGCAGTTGTTTGAGCAATATCAAAGTAAACTTATCTATCCTTCAATGTCCGATGAAAAATTCGCTATAATAAACTTCTTTGTTTGATTATTCTCACATCTATCCACGAGTCATGTTGATTTCAACAGTTTATACAGCATGTATTGCTGTCATAAAGTGTTCTGAACGTACAGTGAACACATTGAAAATAGCCAGATATGAATAGTGGGTGGAGGAACAATTGTCCAACTAAACATCTGTGGACTGACTACTGATATTTGGTCGCTATTGTAAAGCAAGTGCAAAGGGAGCAGTAGTCCGCAGTGCGGCGCCTTTTAGCGAATTCGTTTTTCGATTTATAGATGCTGTTCCATGACAGTAACTTTTAAGAATACAAGTGAATGAATGATAAAATAAGTTATAATAATAGATAAGAGGTAGCAGACTAGGTTTTTATAAAAATCAACTGAATTTCGGTGTTTTAAATTATATAAAAAAACAGCTGCTTGCTCTTTTCCCGTCACTTGGTTTTCGTCCAGCGGTGTCGAAAAACTTTTTTTGGAACGTGGAGGAGGGCGAAGGGAATTTCTTTTTTAACACATTCACGGCAGTATGAGCCACCGGTGGGTCGTATGCTTTCTGATGTTTTTGATCTTGCTAATTTACGAGGAAACTTTTTTGGCAAACTGAATACTCCTGTATAGATCTCTTGTAATACTTTCCAAAAGATTGAGTCTTCAGACCGTAGGACTATCAGCGGCCAGAAAATTTAATCCGAATAATCGGCCTTGTCGCGAATGTGCTCATCAAGAGTTAAGAGCCCTCCGAAAGAAATTTTCAACATGGAAGAAGACCTCCAAAAAATTTTTTCAGCATATCTATTGAGTTTTTCACGCCTTCATATCTGAAATTTATATGTCATTTTTCATTGAATTATACTGAAGTTAATGTACTACAAAGCGGTTTTGCAATCGGTATGTTATATCTACTTGGGCAGATTTGCGAAAATTCGTTTAAAAATTTTGAGGTAAAGATTTTTCCCCTCGGCGGACCCTCTTGCACTTGCTAGTTTCCGGAACAACGAGCTAGCATCGCAATTCAGATGTCGAATCCGTGTCCAAAGTGTCGTAAACGGCCCACCTGTGGTGTCGGGGACACACCTCGTTCGTAAATTCAAGGGCAACAAGGGCATTACAGACATCCCCCATATCTAGCTGATCCTCAGCTCTTGTTAGGTTGGTGCGATCTATCTTGCATCACATTTTGTTGAGTTCCCAATTTTACATGCTTCAAAAATGTTTGAGCAGATCAACAGTTTTCAGAGAAATTTTGAAGAAGGGAAGTCTGCTCTCGTAAATTCTTCTAAATTCTTACCGCTTGCGATTATTGAAACATTTATGCCTTCTTTGAGTATTGTATTATGGTTACCAGCATGCATAATTTTGTTTCGCCCAATACCGTACTCTTTCTAAACGGGTCCTCGAGTACGGTAGCGGGCGAGAATGAGCAGAAGGAAGCCAGGTCCTACCTACTCCATGTAATGCAGTATACTCAAATATTTCTCAAATTAATAAATCGCTAAAAATCTAAAGCGTTCAACAAAATCTTTTTTAGTTCTGATTTGATTTTATGGCACACTTGACTGAAAGTTTGTACTGGATGTATGCTTCTGCGAACGATAGTGACTTATTTTATTGAAGTCTCAGATTGTTTAATAAATTATACTAGCATTCGTTTACTGGAAAATATATACTTGAGAAATTTCCAACATTTCTAGTCCACTAACGACTTTGTGAGCTATCAGGACACTTCTAAACAAAATTTCGTTACTGTATCAATAAATATTCCAGAGCACTGTAGATAACTGATTTTTCACTGAACGGTTTTATAAGCATTGACATACTCGCTAAGTATCATTTAAAAGTTTTGCTGCAATGGCCCTATTCATTGAAAATTAATGCTCAAAAGCTGTGAAACTCATCTTTGTGGTTGTTGGTTCTTTCTGAATTACTGGTGCAATACTTTTGAAGCAACTACAGTATCTACAAGCAACCTACCAACCTATTAGGCTATCTAATAAATAATTTTGGGCTTTTGCGGTTCCGCAAATGCTGCAGACAAATTTTTGTTCAATGTTTGGTATCCCTGAAAAGAATATGTACTTCAATGAGAATTGAAATATATATTGTTTCCAGTAAATCTATTCTCCTATGAAGAAAAAGAAAGAGAGACTCCTCATCGTCCAATTCTGGGATTCGTTTTTCGACCAAAGAATTTCAAAATGACAAAATCACAATATTGTTATACCGAGCTTTTGGAAATCTAGCCATATTGAGGCATAATTGCCTTTTATTGATAGAAGAAAATCCCGATTAGTTGATATGTGTTAGTAGAATGTTTGAGCTACTTGCCTTCAAAAAATCATGGAAAAACGAGAAGAAAGTCTTCATGAGGATTTCCATGTCAAAACGAAGTCTTTTTGAACAACCTAATAGCTTTCCACTCCTTTCTTTAGTACGGTAGTATTAATCTTTGATAAATGCAGATCATGAGAGGGAACGTTCATATAATAATGGCTACAAGTGTTAGTTTCTGTACTATTGCTGGATGCATGCTACTGATGATGATTGTGCGTTATGAGCTGAAAAGTGTGGAAAAGAGCATTCTTGAAGTGAATCGGGACATTGAGGTCAGGGTAATTTTTCCACTCACTTATAACGCAGATTTCATCATCAAAATTTAGGAAGAAAGTACGAAATCGTGGAAAATGCTGAGGGATCTCAAAATCGACCCGGCAATGCTTCGCGAACGACGAGACGTAAGTGATTTAATGGTTTTTGCTTTGCGGGAAAGCAGATTCCCATAATCAGATTGGTCATGCCCAATTGAGACCATCATTTAATACCCTGAGCTGCGTAGTTTGCGTGATTCGCGTGATTTCGCGCAATTCATGGAATGTTGCTCAGTCGTCGAAATGCTTCGGAATGTACGACATTCTCGGGAATTTCGCACCTCGCGGTATTGTATACCATTTCAGTACAAATTCTTGATAGTTATTGATTGAAATTGACTGGAAAATTATCGTGGCAAAAGTAGGGAAGAATACAATTCTACCAGCAGAATTCTTTTGAAGTCCACATGTGTAGTTCTCATTCATCTTAGAAATAGTGAAATACAGCATATTTTGGCATTCACAAAAGAACAGTTGCAAAGGGATACGCTACGCGCAGGGTCCGTATAGCGCAGCGGCGCATTATGACTGTCTGCGTATCACCGCTGCATACACTCTCTCAGCGACTCAAAGGCGTCAGCATTGTTCTTGCTAGCCATTCCTTTCCTTTTATACACTCTTAGAGATCTTATGAAAAGCTGATTTTGATGGAAGTAATCATATTTCTCCTCTCCCTCTCCAGCTAACTGTTTAAGCATACTCACTCTTTGTATTGTGTTTCGATCCTAGCTACAGTATCTTCCCGTTGCCAATTACCACTGAGGTATCACAGAGAGAAAATTAGAGGGAACTCAGTACCTAGATAAGCATGGTTCAGTTCCATACACCTTGGTTTTCTCACAAGCAATGTCATTTTCTTGAATTCGTGCTGGATAGTTCTTACAGTTGATTCATTAAGATGAGCAATGGGAACTAGGAAGTGCTAGGGTTAGGAGGAATTATGCCTCTGAGGCACGCATGGTTTAGCCCATTCGCCTCGGTATCTGCTCTTCTTTATCGGCTGTTTACCATGTGAATGAGAGCTGCATACCAACTACTGAACATTATGAGGCAACACTAAGTGGCTAGGAGTCAAATGATCTGATTAAAGAGTTAGCTCGCATAACAGTTGTTGTAGTGGGGAGGGTGACAATGCAGTTGATGTTAAAATGCTTGCTGATTGTTTTTGAGTTGATAACTGCCTACACTTTTCATTTTGTTTGTTCATTTACTTTTGGCGCACGTCATGTGCATTCAATAAATAAATAAATAAATATTTCCTGTATTATTTAGCAAAGGGAAAAAGAATTTGAAAGTGTGAATTTCGGAATTAATTGCTGGCTGGAATTACAAATAGAACTATGGCATTTTCGAACAATAATAGTGGCAATGTATTGAGGTGTTTCGCAAACTAAATGGTCTCTCCACCGCCTCCGCTGTTGGAATCACCCATCGACGAATGTTATCTCCGCTGGATGACTATGCAGTTGGAATGGACACGCGAGATGCAGCTGTTCGTACTATTTTGATATTTACTTCATCTTAAAGTATCCATAATTTTTTCAGGTCAAAGAAACTCCAGCGACAGTCAAGCATGAGGAGAGCGATAGCATGGTGATAACTTTACCATTTTTATTTCAAATGAGTCACAAGCTTTCAACATAAACAGTCAGTCTTAGAACTCCGTATTGGTAATAAATTTAGAGGTGGAGACTTTTGCAGCAATGATCATGAGTTGAAACTGGTAATACTTGTTACAATTTTACTCGTTCTCACGTAAGATCTTGATTTTCGACAGTCGCTAAAAAGTTTTAAATGTCTAGTTTGTCTAATTTTCTGGGCTACCCGATTATGATGGATTGAATAAATGCTTACTAGCAGTGTTTAGTGCAAATCTACACTTCAAAATCGTCATTTCTTACATCATTATGCAACACTGTTGCTTTTCTACAATAACTTTTCACAAATTTGATTGAGAGGAGCTTGAAACTTGAAACTCATTTTGTTTTTTGGCATTTATGATAGAATAAAGAAAAGGAGAAGAAAGATAGAAAATCAAAAAAGTTCTCGTCTTTCATGATGGAACCACTAAAAGTTCCGAGCCGAATTATATGCCTAGGAACTTCCGCTCTCTAACTTCTTCATTCATTTTGTTTCCCCTATACGAAATAGAACTGAAGTACGAGCTTCCATCAAAATTTCCTAGTGTTGCTTTGCTATAATTACAAGAATGATTTAGGAAAATGCTTATCAATTCCCATCCGCCAATGCAAAATCTTCAATTTCATCATCTTCTACATCTGAGTCTCTTACGCCAAAGTAGGTTTATGTACTGTATCTAAAGTGTGTCACCTGTATTTTTTTCCAAATTTTAGGCTCTCGCCATTCTCCTACTCAATCAGCAGTCAAATCCAAAGTCAGCCGCCGGCTTATACTCCACCCAGCTATAGCAGCGAAGCCATTGGATATGAAATTCATACAGAAGCCATTGCCAAAGCAAAAGCTCCGGAGTGCAGTAAGATTTTTGGTTTTCGCTACGTTTTTGGACCTAAAAATAGAAGTTTAGAGTGTGATCTGACAACAACGTGTCCTGCAGGTCCTCCGGGGCCTAAGGGTGTCCCGGGTTCTAATGGCAGCGATGGTGAAAACGGAAGTCATGGAAAGGATGGAGAGGTATGAATTCTTGGAAGGAAAGGATCATACAGACTTTATTACACAAAAAAATGGAGTGTTTAAGGGCTTAGGACTCTCCCATCCCCCCCCCCCTTGATGGCTACACTATGGCTAGCTATAGCTGTAACCATAGGTTTTAGACGTTTCACTTAGTTCACACATCATTTCCTTCGCGTCGTGGCATTGATGAGGTCGTTCCATGTCCCGACAAAAATGAGCAGATGTTAGAATTTCCAGATGTTCTCTTGCTGCTGGCTGGTTTATGGTAATTCCGTGAAAAAGGGTAGTACAGAATAAAAGAAAGAAGGAAGAAAGACACGATTCAAACCTTTCAGTTATGGGCAGTTTCCGGGCAAACTGGTTTCATGGATTTCTTAGGCTTAAGGCATATCTCGCGCGATTCCGGTCGTGCGCGATTTGGCATAACAGCGACTCTTTGTAATTCTTCGTTAATGCGCTTCCTTTGTCAGGACTTGACCCATTTGCAACAACTTACACAAGCTACCCGTCTATGCGTTCGAGAAGCGTGCACGATAAATCTGTAGAAATCTGGCAAATCGCCAAGTCGCTTGAAAGGTGATTTGGCCGAATCGCGTCAGGTATGCCTTAGGCCTTAGGTGATAACTGAGTGTGGTGCTAAACCGTTACCAAGATAGCAGTTCATTTTCATTCCTGGCCGAAAAATTGGACTTCACACTCTTGCCCAGTACCGTAATTGTTCTTATGAGTACGGTATTGGGCGAAAGTCTAAGGCCTGTTCTTCTTAGCCACGTCTAGGTTTTAAGAGCTGCCGCTTAGGCAATGACATACTCAAAGTCTTTTGATCAATATCAATTAAAAAAAAATCAATTATCCTGAGCACTGCGGAGCACCACTGAAGCAGAGGTTTGGAATAGTTTTTTCAGGATTTCGATGACGTAGCCGAGCACATCCCACTGCTAAGCTCATGCATAACTTGCCCTGAAGGACCACCAGGACTTCCGGGAAGAGTTGGAAAGCGTGGTAAGCTTTTACTTGCTTCTTGTTACGGATAGTTTCATTTTGAGTTGTTATTATCTAGGAACACGCGGTCTTCGAGGAGCCGCTGGTCTGGCTGGAATCCCAGGAAGAAGCGGAAATCCGGGATCTCCAGGTCTGTTTAGAAACGTAGAGCTTGCCAAAGCTCAAAAATTAATTTGTGAAACTCATTCTTATCTGAAAAAAACGAACTTTAGACTCTTGCCCACTACCGTACTGAGTTTGAGCGGGCCAGTCCTCGAGTACGGTAGTGGGCGAGCGTTCAAAGTTCGGTATCTCGACAAGAGTGAGTCATTAGAGTGTTTGAGCAAGTGACAGGAGCTCGCATAAATGTATTAGGTGCTATGGGAGCAGAAGGACCACCGGGAGCAGATGGTGAGCTTGGACCTGCTGGAGTTCCGGGAATGGATGGCATAAAGGGAAAAGGAAAGCGAGGTGCTAAGGTAAATCGTCTTCTACTTTTTGCAATTATCATTTAGGGACTAATAGTAAATTTTTAGGGATCCCAGGGCCGTGTAGGTGAGATGGGCGAGAGAGGTGATCGTGGAGAAGATGGAAAGGATGGTGACGCTGGAGCAGCTGGTACTCGTGGGCCTCCTGGAGAGCCAGGAAGACCTGGTCTGAATGGAGAACCTGGTGCTGCTGGAGCTGAGGGTGAACCCGGTGGGTGGTTTTTTCCGTATTTCCTTTCTTTTCAAGAGGTCAAACTTTTGAGATCTGGCTCTTTCTAAAAAATGAATGGTCATTAAACTGATAATTTTCGAACATGGTTTTTATCCTACATCTTCTAGCGAAAAAAAGGGTGTGTCTTTTGTGGGAAAGAGTAAAATCATTTGAACAATTATTAAATCTATTGAACATTCCATTTAGGACAAGATGGAGAGTACTGCCCATGCCCAAGACACATGTTCCGTGACTCGAATCCTATGAATAGAATCTTGTAACACCTGCATGTTTTTTTTTTGATTTCAATGTGCTGTTGCTTTCTAATAATAAATGGTCGTTATTTCGGAGATAAATCTATCAAAATATGAGCAGCGACACTACTGCTTATTTCCAATTTCCAATACCTAAAATGTTTAAAAATATGGGTAAACAATTTCGCGTAAGCTTTTTCCTTAGAGCTTGGCTTGGCCACGGACTTAAAGGCGGCGTCCAGGCAAAATCCGTGTTACCTCAATCGAAACCTAGTTCACAAGAAGGCCTTAGGAGTAGGACATCGTTGATCGGGTCCTCTAATTGGACTGCGAGTGAAAGAAATGAACCCGGAACCCGCGAAAGTGCTATCAAGCCACGCCCATCCTATAAAGCTCCGCCCACTCAATAACTCAAAGGTAGCACTCAACCGAATCTTCGTCTTCCACATTGTTGTTATTCTGGGCCCTTTCCGTGGCCCTTTCCGTGGCCCTGGTCATGAGCAAAATGTGCAAAACTACCAAAAAATTCGATGTGTGGGAGCCAAAATGTTGAAACAATATGGGTGGTTCCGCCCAAAATCGTCTTTGCATTCAGGATAGATCTCCCACAAATCGGTAGATTTGCACATTTTGCTCATAACTGTGACCAGGGCCACGGAAAGGGCCCAGAATAACAAAAATGTGGAAGACGAAGATTTGGGTGAATGCTACCTTTATGTTAATACCTTGGAGCTTCGTACAACGCAGGAACTGCACGGAAGTACCAAGTTGAACTTATCTGTTGTAGAGACAGACCAAGGAAAAGTTTGTTCCTCACATTGATTGCTAGCCTATAGCTCGATGGAACTTGCCTGCAAGATCGCAAAACTTCTACAAGCGTCTGTTAAAATTCCTTGATTCTTTGAATATACTATGCAATTCTGTTTCAGAGCAATACACTAAAGCTGCGACTCTGTTGTAAAGAGTCAGGTCTACTGTAAAAGTTTGTTTCTAAACAGGAAACATCCATAAGTGCTCTGCGGAAGCTTCACGAAGTTTTTTGTTGCCCTCTTGGAAAAAAATGTTGTAATGTGATAAAAAGAATACTTCAAAAAATTTGTTCATTAAACATTTCCGATGGCTTACCGCAACCCTCCCATATTCTTCGAGGAAGTTCCGCTTCAGTTCGTTGGAGCTCCTTGGAAGCATTGCGCTGAAAAGTTTGTTTCTGCTTTACTCGGGTAATATCTTCGAAAAAGTTCGTCTCTCAAGCTGATTTACTTTTGTATCCCAGCGGAAGTTTTCTTGCATACACAGGAGAAGACTGCTTCTTAATATCATCCAAAACCTTTATTCCATTCCAAAAAATAGCCGATGAATTTTCTCACACAACCAATCCAATCTTTACTCTCTTGTCCACACATTCACATTCCTTGACTTCACACGCCACGTTGCCCACAATCAGACTGTCAATTCAATTACAATCAACACAGCACATCGCAAATCATCGCCCTACGAAACTGAACCTTTGGTTTTTTCCGCGCCGTAAACAAGTCTTTTGTTTTGCAGAGGTTAGAAAAGAAAATTCCGGCACCAGTTGACGAAATTGTCCACTGAACATACAGAGAACAAAACTCCTCCCATAGCTCCTTGTGGAAAATGCTGCGGAAGTTCCTAGTCTGGCGTCAAACTCTTGCGGAACTTTCCCATTTTCGACGCTTAGACTTTTTTGATAGTAAATACAATTCCGATTGCTGTAGAATTATATTATCCTGTGTATATTCTCGTGGATTGTTTGAGCTTTGAAAAATTCGATATGTTCGCTTCAAAGTTTTACCTTATTGTTCCAGAGTGTATTATATGGACTATACGTTCTCACATCATTTGTTTCCATGGTTTCCATAGGAATGTTGGTTTTTCGTAATTCTCACCAGCTTCATTTACCACAACCACTACCAAATACGACGATATAGCACAAAACTGCACAATTCCATTTTGCTTCCGGTAGAACTAGCAGCCCTTGTGATTCTTTTGCCCCGCGTCCTTTAAAGTTCAATAAACACTTCTCGCTTTGTACTCAGAAGGTGTTTTCTATTTCATAACAAATGCCATATACCGAAATTTCTCGAACAACCGTCACCGAAATGTTTGAAGAATGCGTCAAATATGTACTGAATACTTTCTCTTATATATTACATACCATTTGATTCAACTGGCTTGATGGCCAGAAGGCGGAGCTTCGCGATCTAATTTTAGGCTAGATAATGATCAGAGCGCACGCGCGCGACAGAGACGCCGAATGCGTCGTGGGCGCGAGCGGCCTTGGTTAGGCCACAAAGTCCCGCCTTCTCATCGCCAAGCCAATTGAATCAAAAGTTATTTGTTATATGCACATTAAACGAAAAATTTGAAAATCATTAGTTTCAGGTACATATATCAGCATGACTTTATTTAACCTTAATGCACTTTCTGCAACTCGTTGCTGAGATTTACAATGTGATTTTCTTAGTATCAAGTATATTTTGCTTCAGCGAAAATCAAGTTTCTTTTTATATTTAGAGCCGTCCGAATATAAATTCAGAAAAGCGATCAGATTATTTGACGCAAAACTAACTAATAGACTAATGCAGAACCTTTGCACCAAAATTTTTGTAATTTTGTTATTCGTCCAGCTTCAACGAAATTTTCTGATAAATTATCAGACAGAGAAAATCTTGCGCTTTTAGAATTGCTTGTACTAAAATCTTTAAGAGCGTATGGCAACTGTACAACCTTTGATTCAACTGGCTTGGCGGCTGGAAGGCGAGGTTTTGTGACCTAATCAAGGCCGCTCGCGCCCGCGACGCAGTCTACGTCTCTCTCGCGCGCATGCTCTCTCTCTGCTCTCATTATCTAGCCTTAATTAGATCACGAAGTCCCGCCTTCCAGCCGCCAAGCCAGTTAAATCAAAGGGTAAGCTGTTCGAGAGAAATACCCAAAAGGTGACTTTTCAATTTCTGGTTGCTAAAGTTGCTAAAACGTCTACTGAAATCCAAATCTGTTTTTTATCTAGGGTATATAACCGAATCCTTAAGACTGAGAGGAGTGATAGTGATATATTCTTCTAGAAGTAGTTATGAATTTCGATTTTTTTTTATTTTGACTTATTGATTTGTTTCAAACTAAGTTTCTAAAATGTACTAAAAAATATTGCTTTTGATATGCTAAGATAGCGCATGTTGTATAAATAAACTGATTAATGTTTAAGCATTTTAGTGATTTTCTCCCATTATTGGCGAGGAATTGTGCATCAGCCTGATACATACATAAGAATAAATAAAATCACTAAAAACGGCTGGTGTGGTCCCTTTGTTCCAAGCCCGATTTGCTTTGTGCATGACTGCATATGCATTTAAGCATTTATGCTCTGAAGCTCTAGGCAAATAACAGAGTAATGTGCGATCAGAACGCCAACGTTCCGGAGACGAATTGTGCATTTCAAATTTAAAAAATGTTTTTGCCAGAGGATTACTCTCACTTTTGCTGAGGCGGTCCACGTTAGGGCTAAATTTAGCACAGCCTCTTGAAGCAAAGTGTTAGGTGGAAAAATCTTTTTCGGATATTTTTTCGCCACAACCGAACGAATCAGCATTTTGCTTGTACCCTTTGATTCCACTGACTTGAAGACGAGGCTTCGAGACCTAATCAAGGCTAGGTAATGATCAGAGAGCACGGCGCGAGGGAGGTGCAGATTGCGTCGCGGTCGCGAGCGGCCTTGAGTAGGTTACAAAGCCGCGCCTTACCGCCAAGCCATTTGGATCATAAGTAACATTTTTGCAAGCACTGACTGCATTTTTCGAATATCTCCTTCACAAGCATTGTGCTTTTGCATTTTTTCATCCAATTTACTTTTTGTGTTTTTCATCCTACATTTTGCGAAGGATGAGTTTCTAGTTATTTTTGCGACTTCGTTTCCTCTTATTGGTTATGATTTCAAAAGGCCGATGTATTTAAAACGGTGTGCAAACGTAGATAACTTTATCTTTTGAGTTTATAAAGTAAAAATTTCAACCAACTATTTTCTTCGATTCCCATAAATATTCAGCATCAGGGAAACAATCCTTTTGATTATTTTTAACATGTGGATTGAAAAGACAAATAAAGGCATATAGAGGGCCTTCCTGTTATTGCATGACTTCCTCCGCCTGGTTGTTTGCTTTCGGTTCCATTTCCGGTGCGTTCAGAAAGTGCACACCACGCGCTCTGCTACAACTCTGATGCCAAAGATAAGCAGCACTCATAGTCGCAGATCACGCTAGCGTTACGATTTTTCTACATTTACATTCGGATTTTTTTCGTTTGACCATCCCCAAAAATAATTCATAGGAAGTTGCTATTTTGATGTCGTTTGTAAATTATCGATGGATTTAATAAAAATTCAAATCAGTTTTGCAGGAAGAGTCTTGTTTGCAAACTCAGGAAATTTGAACAACTTCCAAAAGTGAATTTTGGAAAGATCTTGATCACACCCTTCATTCGCAATTTCTCGATATATTCCCCATACTCTTCAAATTTTGGGACCGTCAGCGGTCTCCACCGCTGGAATTGATGGTGAGTGGGTAATTACTGAATAAGCAAAAAAATGTTTGGTAAATAAAAATGAGTGACACATAGATAATAAATGACAGGATTAAATAACGGCTCATTTTAAATGGTTCAGCGCACAGCTGAGTTGTCAATCAATGAAGAATTATCAAATGTACAAATCGGTAATATAAAAAGAAATAAATATGAGCGTGGATTAGATGTATATATTCGAGTAATAATCTGTTTTAGGCGTATAGCGGTATAACTTTGAAATGTTATTTGTTATATTTTCTTAAAAACGTCCAAAATTTCATTAGAACCCTGATTTTAGTCTTTAGCCCCCCCCCCCCTCCCCCGTCCTCCTCTCCCCCTTCGAATAAAATTTAAAAGCCGTAAGACATGAAACTACGCAATCTTCATATTTTCCTTGTAAGTTATTACCCTATTTTGATGTATAAGCCCCAGGGATTTTTTTCTCAAAT